AGATCCATTCATTTATTTTGTATTGGTAGAAGGGTAATGTAGTGCCATGAGTAGGGACTGATTTACTATGAAAGTAATGTCAATGAATATAATGTTAATTTTATTTTATATAATAATTTTATGATACTATAATTTATGATTAAAATTAGTTTTACGGATTTTATCGCGTTTATTTTTACTTTTTATTTACTTTTATTTTTAATAGTATTAAAAATAAAAGTTAAAAAAAAGTAAGTCGATAAAATCCGTAAAAGTAGTTTTAATCATGTATAGTGTTCGCGTAAATATAAGAAATCATTACTATAATTTATTTCAGTTTTTATTTATTTCCAGACTAACAAAGTGTATTCCCATTTTATTTTGTGGAATCACAAGCTGGTCCCTCGCAAATTATTGCTGCAAAACCACAAGCAGGATCTTCAAAAAGGACAACATTATATCCACTGAAGAACAAACATCAAAGCATAACACATAATGTTGAACCTGAAAAAGAAAGTATGTATATCTATATGAAATTTTTTAAAATGAAATAAGGAATATTTTTGTAATCTAATATTTAATATGTTTTATAATTTTGAATTAAAATTATTCTATTTATAAGCTGCATTCAATACTTAATATATTGCATATAATATAGAGACAAAATTTTTAGTGTCAATTCAGGGAAATAGATAGACAACCAAATATTATCAAAACACAATTATTATTTGTGAATGTTGCACTTTGCACTTGTGTGTAGGAGCTTATTTATTAATTAACTTGTTTTAGATTAAAATATTGATATTTTGGTTATTGTAGACAATCATTGTGCATATTATCAATTCATCCATGATTGTAAATCTTATTTCAATTCTTTATCATTGTTTACTTAAGTAATTGAAATGTTGTAATCATTATTGATTTTCTTTTCATGTTTAAACCCATCAAATGTCTTTATAGAAAGAACTAAGCTGCTGGAGAAATTGTTTCTTAAGTTATGTATGTTTTTTATTTCAATTTGTATTTTTATTTTGAATAAATAAATAGAAATTTTGTAATTTTTGTTCTTTTATTTAGCGCTGGGATAGGAAACCCAAAAATACCTCAAATAAAAAAAACAAAAAAGACCACATTCAAATTTTCCCGCCACACGAGAAGTGCAGGAGGCTGACGATAGATGGCGCTAGTGGTTATATATCTCATTTCTTAAATTTTGTATGAAGTTGTCGTTCTTCTCCGATAGGAGTAATAGTGTTCTGTGGCTATACGTCTCTGCAATACGCCACTTTTTGAGCAACTGTATAAAAAAAAACAATATAATGTGTATTACCCAGCCTGAAAGCGTTATCCACCAATCGATAATAACGTGCAGTTTCACACAATCCAACGTCACTGCCACCACTACCAGGAAACACGCTGCCGACAATAACACAACGTGCATACTATTGTTGTTCTCTCCATAGGTAGCAGCAATTATGAATAGGGTATATTATCTTAACAGTTAGATAGCGCAACGGCTCAACGTTCGACTGTAGCGTTCTAGGAAACGAATTCCATTATCATTCTGGATAAGTATTACATAACAGAGCTAGTATGAAAATGCATAACTTTCTATAGTCTGTATTTTCATACTAGCTCTGTTAAAGTCTGAGTAAAACACCGTACTCATACTATGAGTATGGGGTATTACTCATTCGAAAAAAAAAACAATCAAGTGTACTGTGTCATTTAATAGAAAGTGAATGCAGTGGCTTATAAACATTTATCTTTATCTGATGACCTGAGGCTGATGCTGACGCTGAGGACTTAGACGGGTCTCTCGGTTCCAGTGCTTTTAACTGGTCTTCGGTTCTCTACATTAACTATATGATACACAGCAGCATTGAGCTGTTATTTTTATGCTGATATTTTGTGAGAGCATGGTTCTTTCCTGAATTTGCAGAAATTTCCTGTTGCAACCCTGTCATACATGCTGCATGGTTCACCACGAAAAAAACATTTGCACTTTATTTAATTTGTGAATTTTAAATGCCTTCATAGGTTTTAAGTGGTAACCTCGTCAGGGTAACTAAATTGTAGGGTGACCTGCCACAAGACGGAGTGACAAGCTGTAAATAAATGCGGAAAGCCGACGGCTGCAGATAGCTCAGGACCGCACTTAGCTGCATCCCTTAAGGGATGACTATGTTCAGCAGTTGACTTGTGACGGGCTGTAATGATATTGATTATGATGAAATCTCTACAAGTTTCCAGAACTTGAAGCGTGGGACAAACTTTTTTAGAGGATATCTTAAATGTTCAAGTGACAATTGTAGTTTTCTTTTTATATTTAATTTTAAAAACACGGTGAAAATATCACCAACGACTGAAGAATATTTAAGAGTATCCCACTAGAACTACCAACTCTAGAATTTTCTCTTGTATCGTGTAGGATTCAAACCCGCGACTTAGCAGTGGCGTAGCTACGCTCTTTATCACTGCTCTTCGAATTTGTCAACATTTTTGGGTTGATTTCAATCGCTTTTGAGTTAACGATTAGTCTAAATAGTTGGTAAACAATATAATCAAGTCGGGCACTCAAGTAGATCCTCATCATATTATCCCGTGGGTGTCGTAAAAGGCGACAGAGGGAAATAAATCAGGATATGGACAATAGCGTCTTCCTTATAACGACTAAAAATAAAAAGCTGTGGTTGCCAATCTGCCTGATGAGCTTGGCAGCTATACCAAATATACTTATTAAGCAATTTTTGGGGGGAAGCCTATGTTTAGCAGTGGTTTTTAATAGGCTGTAATGGTAAATAAAATTGTAACTCTCTAGCCAAATCACATAAATCAAATGCAAATTAAATTTTATAGTTTTTTTCATAGCATTGGATACGAAAATACACGAATTTATGGCTATAGTATTAAAAATATTACATTGTAGTAGTAAAACAACGAACGATATGTACAAATATTTTCATAAAAACACCATCGCTAAATATCAGTATATGCGTTCGGTACGAGCGGAATTCTTCAAAATTGTTTGGTATTTAGGCCGCATACTTTACATTACAGAAGCATAATATTTACTATGAGTAAATAATTAATATAAAATATGCAGCAGTCCGCTCTTTAAGACTAGTACGCAACGCAAACATCTTTGAGGATTGAAGACCTTTATTCAATAGTGAATTATTAATTCACTTTATTGTCATCAATGAAAAGAAAAGGCAACAAAGGAAAGGTAAGAACTATTTCCTTACGTTAAGTAATTACTCAGATGCGTATAAATCTACAGATTACAACATCGGAAAAATATTCCTGCTGCTACTTCTTTCTAAGCACTTAAAAGTTCACTGCTGGACGTGAGTCATTCCTGTTGCGGGAATTGACGGCGGTGTAACCAACTGACTTACGCTTGACGTAAAGCACTCAGAAATGCGACGGACAGCAGCGTAATAGGTGGGAGACGTCTAGCACTACGATCGTCTATCAACCCGCATTATATTGGAAAAGCATCAAAAACATATAGCTATGAAAGATTTATTAGTATTTAGTGACAAAAACTTCAGAAAGAAAAAAAGAAAATAATTTCAGGTGTCCCGGAATGCTAACACATTCAGTCTTCAACTTCGGCAGTTGGATCTTTCCGGCTGACAGATCTCTAGAAAATACTTTTAGCCTTGGCTCCACTCAATCGTTTCTTCAATACCAGCTGTATTGATGTTGCGTCAATTTCGTCGCACGCAATTGATGATTGATGATGTCAAATATTTAATGATCAGTGATCGGAATAGGTAGTGTAATTTAGGGTGAATAACCTTTCGTAAACCGCGATTTTATGATTTGTTATAATCAAATGTTTTTCTTCTGACAAAAATAAATATTTACTTCATGGCTATACTTTAAATTTTTTTATTATTTTTAAATTATTTATTATAAAAATAATTTTGCGGTTTTATACAAATAATACTATGTAATATTTTAAAGCTACTTCTAAATACATTTTGTAAAAAGCAACAACAATGTTTTTGTATAAATTTAGACAAGTTTTCTAGTAGTGATCCACTTCATATTTGCATAATTGTTGCTGTGTGTTACTCACTAATAAACTTTCGTTTTGAGTTAACAAAAATTCGCTAAATAATATTTGTTAAGCTTAGGATCAGTTCACACCGAGAAGTGACGCGACGTAGCACGGCGTGCAATTTTTGTGATAGTGATACAAAATATAACTTTATTTACTACACAAAAAGATACTCATTTTATTGAGATAATTCTAAAATGTCACCTACCTTTACACAACGCTCAATAGTGTTGAGTTCGAATATACAATAAAAATATATGCAGCCGTATTAAGGAGTTCAAAGTATACCCGTCCGCAACAATTTTCCGGGGTATACTTTCATCTAGGACACTACATTTTGCTATACTATAATCTATACCCGTTCCAGTGTCTCAACGAATATAGAGACAGACAAAGGGATGGTTATTTCTATGTTAGGATTGAAATAAATTATACAAGAACATAAGTGGATAAAAACGTTTATTACAAAAGGAAATGAACTTAGTACAGAAATACAATTGGCATGAACTAAAAAAGGAAAAATAAGAATTTAGCGCGCGTTATGAACATTCATTTTAATATTTTGTCCTAAGTCATGCTTTCGTTTAGTTTTGCGTTCTGTGTTAGACGGCCGCCCAGCTTGAATCCTAGACTTCATCTTTCCTAATCCCCTGTCTTTACGTCTACTTATGGCTGTGCTTTGAACATTAATTTTTCTTGGTACACGCCTTGTTATTATCTGACGTAAAATGAAGTTTTCTCCTTGCTCTGACGTATTTATTTTTTTAATAATTTTTGTGAATTTCGCTAGTGCTCTTAGATTGTGGACAGTGGGGTTCGTTTCAAATAACGCAGTGAAGCGTTTTACTTCAGACTTAAATTCAGCAAGTGCATTATTATACTGGTGCGGAAATTCTACAGCAACCTGTTGTGAGTATGACGAAGAATTATCCGCATCCTGTGTCAGCTCTTATGTGTTGGAGGAAGAGCACTGTGGTACTATCGAGTCCAAATCATTGTTTGGTGTTTGATCCAATCTCAGCTCCATATTCATATAAAAATTTTCATTTATCTCATCCCCCATCGCAATTCTTGCTAGTGATATTCTATCATGAATAGACAGCCGAGGAGAATTCGGAAATATAACCCCAAATTTTTGCTTAATGCTACATAGTTGCTTGCAAAATCTTCCACATTTTCCAGCATCACAGTCGCAAACAGCTAAATCGGCTCTGACAGTGTAAAAAGTATTTGAATTTGTCTCTGATTCTACACTGTACTCATTATTGTTGACTTTAGAAATATTTTTAATATTTCGAGTAATTGCAGAACTGGTCTGGTCACACGATGATGTTGTGTCTACAAATATCATATTCTCATACGCAGTAGATAGAAAGACCCGTTTCATTATAGGCGTAATTATGAAAATAATCCTGGGATTTTGTTTCAACAGTATCGTGTAGCCTTTCTCATTTAAACTCTCAATTTTCCCTTGCATGATTTCGGGGAGTTGCATTCATTACGGTCACCATATTTTTCAGCACGCCATTTATTATACATGTAGTACACATGATTTTCAGAAGGATTTATTTGAGAATTCGACAGCATCTCTATTCCATTTACAGCAGTATCTTGAAAAGAGTCCAGTATGTTCAATTCATTGTAATTTATTGCTGCACAAGGTGTCATCCCACTGTTGAAATATTTTTTAAACCTTTCTTCGGTTTCCTGGTTGCATTTTAGTAAATTCAAAGCTTCGGCAATATAAACGCGATGAGAGTGTTCAAAAACTATGGTCACTAACACATTATATGCTTTCAACAATAGTTTATCGTTTCGAATAGTGTCCTTGTTGACTTTTTTGATAACAAAGTCTATTTTAGCCTTACAGTTTTATCCACGAGACGACTTATCAGATTTTTTATTGAACGATGAATGTCGACATGTATAAGTTTTTCGAAACAAGAAGCGCTTCAACGAAGGATATGACTTTCGAACTATCCAGTTCGTTTTCGCATACTTGAAAAAAATTAACAAACTCGTCGATAAACTTTCAGTCTAAATTGCATGAAGTACTTTTCACACGAATCAAAATCAAATTTCTCAATAAATCCACAATGTTCAGTTATAAAGCCCTCTAAACCGGCTTTATCTATCATTTTACACATTTTTTACACTAAGAGAATCACAAACTATATAGTTATCGCTCGATAATATACTTCACACTATGCTATGCACTATATTTCCTATTTTTTTAAATTAAAAACACTGGAAATCACAGAGTTTAACAGTACTAACTCGCACGTGGTAAAAAATGATGCAACAAACGAAATATTTCGTCAGCCAGAGGGCGAAAAGGAAAGAACGATTGAAATAGTAACGTGATAAAAGAGTATACAGCGATTGCTTTGTTGCGATAAGGTATGTTTTAAAATAACTGCGCGGGCGTGACCTAAGCCTAAATGTATTCCCGATTTCAACACGCACCAGTGACGTTACAAATGTTAGATAAAGGTACGCTCTAATGAAAAGATTTTCGCTTTCTGGATTTAAAAATATACCCGACGGCAACACGGTCTCTGACGTCATAAGCGTTGCGTGAAGGTATAGATTCCGTATACGCCACGACGCTGCGCAACATATCCCAGTCGGTAGGCATAGTGTGCAAGAACGGTGCGCTACCAGCGACTTCACGATGCGCCTCGTGACGTGGCGATGCGTCTCGCGGCGACGAGACAACTAGCATCTTCAAGCATCGTCGCGTCGCGTCACTTTTCTGTGTGAATTGACCCTAAGTCACTTTTGTCAATCAACGTAACCTTATGCGATACGTAGATTGCCAAAAACGGCTATGATACTATATATTATATACAACATGTAACCAAAACCCTGTGGTTCCCATTAAGTGCGTTATCATAATCACTATCCAAGCGTATAGAAATAATATTTTTTTTTCAAAAAAAAAAAACATTTAAAAAAATTAATTTTAAGGAAAAAAAATAATTTGCAAATTGTGCGTGTTTTTATTATCTCTGCATTGGCCGAGGGGTAAGAGAATTGTCAAAGACCCGCATTACCGATACTCGTGTGAATTAGAGGAAATAAAACCACATATAATTTTTAAATTAAATTTTTTTCCATTAAAATTAATTTTTTTTGAATGTGTTTTTTTGAAAAAAAAATTCTATACGCTTGGATACTGATTCTGATAACGCAGTTAACGGGAACCACAGGGTTTTTGTTATGGGGGCTGTCTGGTGCTCCCATAGACAAATAATGTATGCATGTCTTTGTTTAATTTTTTTCTAAAACTGAAGTGAAAAAACTATGTAGTGCCGGTGTTAGAATATCCGCTACACGTTTCGTAACAGACGACAGACGGAAGCAAACCGGGAGATAGACAGTAGTGTCTCCCTAATAACAATGTATAATGTATATATAATAACTGAACACTCACGCCTGTCATCCAGAGGGGTAGGCAGAGAGTACAGACTTCCATTTAGCACGATCCTAACACAACTCTCTCGCCTCTTCCACATCCATATACATACGCATACATGCTCGTCGGTTAAGGGTACTCTTAGTTTGGCCCATTTTTAATAAATCGGAAATTTGGTCGATAAAATTTCGCCCAGGACGTCCTTTTCCGACTCTCTTTTTCACTTCTGCAACATATATTTTCACTCTTTCCTCATTAATTCTTTTTATATTAGTAGTATTATATTAGTATATATATATATATATACGAATTTGCGAATTTCTTAACTGTTCAAATTTGAGTCAAATAAGTATGTTCTATGCATGATACGTCGTATCAATTACTATTGTGACCTCGATATTACTATGGGGCGAAATAATTTATAAGATTGTGTTAAAAAAAAAACTGTTTGTATTCATTTTTATATTTTTTGTAGTGTAGTAGGTGTAGTATCGTGTAGCTCTCACGATAATATTAGTTCTAAGGTAAAATAAGTGAGCAGTATAATTAAAGTTTTTGTACCCAAACACGTGTCCTTCATTGGCACCTATCCCACATTACACACTGCTCAACAGGTTCCTTCTATAAATTGCCTTATAGGATAAATAATTGTCATAGTTGCAGACCGCAGACCGCAGTTTTTTATTTAGTTTTTATTAGGAAGACACTGTGTGTTCGAAAGTGTCCCTGGCACTTCTTATAACACCTTTCAGACTAAAGAGTGGAATAACTAAAAAGTGGTTAGAGAAGATTAGTAATAAAGAAATTTTTGTATATTTTATTGCTGTTGGCGTCATAAAGAGATGTTTCATCACTTACTAACATTATTTAATGTTATCAATTCATTTTAAAACGCAGTACACATAAACATTTAGTAAGTACAGTAGCTTATTTATTAGCTTTAATCGTATTAATATACATTTCAACAGCTACGAAACACGATATCGAATCTCGGCTGCTGTAACGTCGATGTTATGTGCTAGTTTAGTGTGGCGAAGCGAATCAGATTGTAGTATCAAATCGCAAGCTGGGTCCAGAACATTGCTGTTGAGGTAGTAAATTATTTGCAAAACCATTCGTGTTATCGTCTACCGAACAGATTAAACAAAGTTTTAGCAAATATCAATAGTAATTCAATACGTATGTAGAATTAAACATATTTTAATAAATATTTCGTAACTAGATGTCCCCCGCTACTTAGTTGGCGTGGAATTTGTTACGATGGATTTAATGGGTTATAATTTTTTCCCGAACCTAATTTCTTGTCCACAATAACAGAAGCCTAAATAACATATATCTGCCAGTAACTGTCCTTAATATACCACTAATCAGTCCACCCATTTGGGCGATTAGCCGGAAAAAACAGACAGATAGACTTTTTGTGTGACTTTTCTTTGTTATAAATACCGTAATTAAACTTTCATATGCATTTAGTAACAAGCAGTAATTTTTATATTACAAACAGATACTTCAATTTTATTTATTTGTATATATATATGAAGGTTTTTCAAAATTGAGTTTTTACTCGTTCACACAAACGCACACGCGCACGCACGCGCACAGGCACATGCACATACACACGTACGCACGCGCACACGTACAAATATTTTCGTATTTAGTCTTGGTGGAGCCAAACTGCAAATTTATTATGATTGTAGCATAAATGGGGCGGTTCGACCCGGAAAGGACAACGCTGAAACCAGGAAAGGACAGAATACCAGCGCAAAATAGCAGCTTAATGCTGCTGAGATACGTATGATGAGTATAGCTAAACCAAAGTACCTTTTACTGGAAACAAGGCCTTCTAATTAAGTCCTTAGAAATGTAAACTCATCCGCATTTTGATTTTTAATCGAAAATCGTTGTTTACGAGCCAAAACAACCAGTCACCATCAGGTGAACTGTGTACGCGTTTGTCACGTTTTTTTTATATAATAACTATATAAATATTAAACCTTCCAAAAAGACACAGTTTGGGCTTGTAGGTAAGATATCAGTCTATATATAGGATATCGGATTGTGTAGTTCCTGTTTGATGAGTTCCCTATCCCAGTTCTCGAACGTGACAATTCATCAGCCTTTTAAGTTGGTTGCAAGCGGCTATCCTGATGGTGAATGATCACCGCGACCAGAAACATTCTCTGCATGTCCTTGCGATCAATACAACCCATTCGTAGTCGTGCGTCGTTAGCATGCACATTTTAATAAGCTGTATTTGTCGAATGTGTATTGTTCCTAGAATAGAATTTAACCCGAAATACTGTGTGTAAACTGTGTTGCATTGTAGAATTTTAGAGCTAGATTAATAGCCAGATTGTAGCGTATAGTAGTTGCAACACGAATGATTCGGCTGAAACTGACACCATTTTGACGATACATCTACATTTTGATTGTTAATCAAGAACAGATATAGGTGTCTATGGGCCACAACATCCATTTATCATAACTTTGTCCGCTCGTTTTTCACCATAACTTCAATAAAAAATTAGCTACTTAGGTATTCAACAGCTGCTAGGAAACACCCCGTTCTCACATATAAGTTATTATTATCGTAAAATAATAATGTGAAGTGGATTGGATTTGGGAAACACTCAGTTTTCATATTTAAAGGTAATTGTCGTAAAAAAATAGCGTGAAATTGTTTAAATATGAATAAAGATACGTGTATTAAGAATTACTTGTAATAAATATTATTTAGATTTTCATTAAATAAGTTTTTTTTAAATCAAAATATATTTATTTCACAACACAGTGGTTTGTAATTGTAAACAGAGGTTGGGACCATCCTATTAAGTAATAATAATACTTGTGCCTGTTTGTAGTATAATATAATATATTGAATCAAATATTATTTATCTGCCATGTAATTAGGCATATCTTTCTTTCAGGAACTTAATTTTCCAAAGGAAAAAATTAGAAACGAAACTACG